ACTAATAATAATACGTCTTATGCTCTCTTAATTAACTTTAATAAGTATAACTAGTAAAATAAACTCTATCTTATAAAGAATCTAGAGACTAGATAATTATTAGTTTCTATCTTTTACGTAAAGCGTAAGTAGGTGTAAGAGACTATAGCGTGTACTTATACGCAGTTTCTCTTAACTATTATATATACTATTACTATCTATAAGAGTTAAGGCCTAACTATTAATACTACTATCTTAAATTCTAGAAAGAAGTAAGACTTCTTACTAGGTCTTACCTACGTTACTATTTTCTATGTTTAATTACTAGATAGCTTTCTATTCTAGAAGCTATTTAATTTAAAGTAACTTAAGTTTAGTAATATAGATACTACTATTATATAAGCCTATAATCTTATAAGGTAATAACTTTAGAAGATTAAATTACCTACTACTATAGTTAAGAATAACAACTCTCTACTAGAGTATAAGCTAGGTCTAGGTTACGTAAGTTAGATATTAATACTAATACTATACTTAGCGCCTATTACGCCTTCTAGAGACTAGCGTTTAACTATTCTAATTCTATCTAATATTACTTTTATAGTTATTCTTTTAGACCTTTCTACTACTACTACTACCTCTTACATCTCTACGTTTGTACTACTATTTTAATATATTAATAAACTTCTACTAATTAACCTAGCTTAGTATATTAGTAATTCTACTATACAAGTAAGTTAAAATAATATTAGTTTAACCTACTTTAAGTGTTATAGGTAATATAAGCTTAACTCTATTCTTATTACTTATTATATTACTTCTAGAATTAACGTGTATATTTAGTATAATAACTAGCTTAATATACTTAATATATAACGCAGAATATAGTATAGAGGTTAAAATAGTTATAATATATTAAGAGTAGACATAAACTTAGATAAGAATACGTACTATAACGTATATAAGACTAAGCTTTAGAGTAAGAATACTATAAGAGAGAATACTATAAGAGAAAATAGTATAAGAGATAATACTATTTAACGTATAAGTAGGCTACTACTTATTAAGGTTTACCTTAACGTAGTTATATAGACTAATAGGTAGATAATAAACATTTACTTATATTAATAATCTTGCACGCGCTGTAGGCTTTTAAGCAACTAGAGCTTAAATAAAGTAGCTAAAGCTATACTTCTTTAGTACCCGTTTACAAACTAACAGACTATTTTCTTCCTTCTATAGCACTCTGTACATGTCAGACAGGGTCTCGGCCCTTTCGAGGTGCTGCTGTCGTCCATGGTAAGGTTGACCGTGTCGGTCGTGGACTAGGTGTCGCGATCGTGGACATCTCGATGCAATGAGAGCGTCTTTCTCAGCATCGCGTTCCCGGTGATTGGCAAGGCACGTTGGCTATCAGTTGGCTATCGGCGTACAGTTGCGGTGGGGAAGGAAGATGAGCAGGGTGCGGCCGACAACGCGGAACCTTCCACAATCTGGCCTCGGCCCCACTTCATCTCGACCGCGACTTCCGTCTCGCAGGCTGCGGGTGTCTATCTAAGCAGCACGACACACGTGTTGGTGATGACGGCCGATGTGAGCGGCCGCCCTGCCCACGTCGGCTTTGGCACGCCTGAACGCATATCGCGACACCACATGCATAGAAGCAAAGATGACCGAACATAAGAATAGGTACAGTCTGCCCTCAAGACACTACGGTCACATATGAAACTCACCAACCTCACCCAGCTCGAATATCAACCCTCTCATCATGGCACCGACGAAGTATGTTGATCGCCCTGTGCCGACAATCTCCCTCCGCGACTTCGATGCGCGCATCGATGTGATTACACAGGAACTTGTCGATGCTGCAGAGAACCACGGCTTCTTCTGCATTGTGGACCACGGCATAACACGCGACGCTGTTGACGGCATATTCAATCAGTCAGCGCGTTTCTTCAACCAGCCCGATCCCGTGAAATCGCAAGTGCCATTTTCCCCTCAACACAACGCCGGATGGGAGAAGAATGCTCAAATCCGGCCATCTACTGGTGCAGTCGACCGCAAAGAGTCTTATCAAATGCAATTTGGCGAAGGCATGAACGGTAAGCTGGTTTCATTCGTCTTATGTGTATGGCCGTGCTGATCGTTGGTTAGGTCGATGGCTGAGTGACCAGACCCTTCCGGGGTTCCGAGCAGAGGCTTTGGAGTTCATGCACAGAGTACAGGCAGTTAGCGAGAGGCTCATGAGGTGCTTCGCGCGAGGGTTGAACTTCGAGGAAGATTACTTCGTCAAAGCTCACGATGTCAGCCGACCAGAGTCTCAGACTGTCTGCCGATTATTACATTACTTCGAGACTCCACAGGTGCCAAATCCAACAGGAGAGGTGCATCATCGAGCGGGCGCACACGCCGACTGGGACTTCTTGACTCTGCTGTTCCAGAAAGCAGGGCAGTCTGGTCTGGAGATCTGTCCGGGGCGGGAAGTATCAACTTCGTTCGGGTACGGGGATGCGTGGACCAAGGTTGAGCCGGACGCAGACAAGAATGCAATCGGTATGTTGATGTGCTATTTCGACCTGAAACCTTTACTCATACACCACAGTCTGCAATGTCGGTGACCTCCTTATGTCATGGTCTGACGACCGCTTCAAGTCGACATTCCATCGTGTCAAGGCTCCATGTGAGCCTGATGACTTCTACGGCGAGCGCTACAGCATCGCCTTCTTCAATCAGCCGTGCAAAGACGCCAAGATCCAGGGTCCACTGAAGAAGTATCCAATGGTGACGGGTGAGGAGTTTACGAGGAATGCCATGAGCCGAAATTATCAGGCTATACAAGATAAGTTGAAGAAAGAGAAGGAGCCGGCGGTAACGGTTGTTGAGGTGGATGTGACGGCAGCCCCGGCTAGTGCTACCGTGTGAGATTTGTCTCTGGAGCAGTAATTAATCTCTTCAAATATCTACCAAGATCTTTCGTCAACTGGAAAAAGCTCTGGAGTGCAGTCTCATTCAGTCTCGGGTGTGACTTCAGGCTTTTCGCGTTCTTTCATTTCCGTGGTTTCCTACAAATCCTAGCGCGGATGCCTAGTCGACCCGCTTATTTCTCTCACCTGCGCAACGTTTAGCCTTCTATCCTTTGCTCATTGTACTTCCTCAAACCAAGTTCGGCCGTCTAAACCCCACAATCGACACGACAAGCGCAATACCCTTTATGAATCCAACGACTCTGCCCTTGGCAGATACTTCGCCTATCGAGAAGCTGCCCGCCGAATTACTAGAGTTCATACTGCTGGAAGTTGCGAAGCATGCTGTACCGCCAGTTACCGAAGACAAAGACAGTGGATCTGTTGTCTATCGATACGCCCAGGAAGAGGAGCAAGCGTGTTCGCTCGCATTTCGCCTCACGAGCCGTCGCTTCTGTAACTGTTCATGGAAGGCTTTCGGTGCTTACCTGGGCGAAACAATATTCGATCTGAGATCGCGTCAAAGTATATCCAACCTTACTGCGGTGTCTACATGCGAGCATCTGGCTCCTTGGGTTACAAAACTTATCATAGCCTGCGCTGAAGTGCCCCCGGGGTACCCACTCGAGCATGGGGCAGATACGATGCAGATGGAGCAGGCAGAGTGGGATCAACTACGCCAAGACTCTTACTCAGATCTACTTCAAATCAAATTGGCTGAAGACTCTTGGTACCCCCGCATCTGGAAGCAGAAGGGCTACGGATCTCCAATGACGGGTAGCGGCATTCCTACTTCCGCAACGCCTCCACGTCTTGCTAGAGCCTGCAACTCTATGAGTATCATCCAGGAGGCCGGGATGAGGGCCCTCCAAGAGGTCTTAGCCCAGGCTTTGTTCTGCTTCAAGAACTTCGACCATATCGGATTCTACCACCAGCCTCGTACCCGACCCGGGCGATATCATAACCTATTCCGGAAGTTTCGAAGTATCTCACGCTACCGCGAAGAAGAGGATATGAGGAATGTCGGTAATATAGCTCATCTTGGCCTTCACATCCTCATTCATGCCATGGTAGCATCGAAGATCACAGTCCGCACGATGACTCTGGCCGTCGATCTCGATGAACATCACGCGTTCATCACCAACATCCCCTCTATAATCTTCGCGAAAGCCAGTCAAAAGGTAGAAACGCTTGTCCTAAGAGACATGTACTGCCCATACTACCAAACACCATTATATAGAAAGAAGGGTAAAGTAGCCGCTACGAATAGCTCTTAAGATATCTTGCTAACTTGTTACTAGTATGTATCTCCTATGCTATGCTTTGGCAACGCAGTTCTGAGACATCCTATTATTCGTGCTAACAGCTTGATAGGGCAGACTGTCGATCACGAGAAGTCTCTTTCCTCGCCTTCGCTCGTTGGTGATCGATCATAGCCAACATAGCGAATTCATCGATCCTCGGCCGATCATCCCGCTTCCTTCGCCTTCTGACACGCCTGCTCTTGACAAATTGACTGTGAGGAATACTAGGATGAATGCCGAGAACTTGCACTCATTTCTACAATGTTATGGGCAGCAGGCTCGGTGCATCTCATTCGAGAGCCCGGCAGATTGGGAATACCGCTCCGCTTTGGAGTCCGTGCGCAATCTTCACGTCGAGACACTTGAGATTGAGCATCGTTACGGGGAGGAGGCCTTCTGGAATTCGATCAACAGCGAAGAAGCGGGTTACGAATCGGAAGATACAGAGATATTACATCTTGAGGAGTTCCCAGAAAATCTTGCGAAAACAGTCAATTTGCACCCGCCTTCGTTCAAAGTTGCACTAGAGCGATACTGGCTCAAACATCCTGAAGGACAGTCAGGTGGCGATGAGTGAACGGCAATGGAAGATCGAAGCTGCTGAGAACTTCGATCATGGCTCAGAGTAGCTCCATGAAAGGTGCGCGGATGGTGAGGTGGCTTGTATACCCTGGTGCACATGCAAAGGTAGTCAATGAAAAGTATCAAGATCTCAATTCCATTCAGCAGAAAATCCATGCCTATGAAAGATAGCATGGATGTAGGCGATGACTGACATAGCATATGGGGAACTCAAACCGTATCCTGCCTCTCCACGATTATCACCTCTTCTTCCGCGCTCTCATCTCCCCTCGCAGCATGCTGCCTACCCAACATGTACGAATGCCTCCTTAGTCCCGAGACTTCCCTCTCCGAGTTCGTTACCCAGAAAATGCGAGCCATCACCCACAGAAAAGCGACCACCACCATCAACAGAAGAACCATGACATTATCGGCTGCTTTGCTGCCCAAGAAGCCGTAGGTGTATACGCCGTAGCCGAATGTTACGTCGGCGTAGACCGATATGATGAGGGCAAGGCATACAAGAAGAGCTGCGCCTGGAAGTCCGAATCGCCTTTGGAGTTTGAAGATTGGGGAGTGGCGAACAAGGTCGACTCCGTAGGTGTGTACGAGGTGCTCGAGGCGGTCGGCGGGTCCGTGAGTCTCGTGTGCGCTGGTACTGTCTGAGTAGGGGCTGGCCATTGATTGATACATCTTGGTGTTGGTTGCGGTGGCAGGGGTTGGTCGGGTATGGTGGAAGCCAGTGGGAATTTTATATGTCGAGGTCGATAGTCCAGCCTTTTGTTTCACCCCATACCGCCGCGTTCACTAGCACAGATCTGGTCCTCTCCAGTTCTTTGCTAATGCTAAGAACTCTCCCATCACCGGGCAGCATCTTCACTCTTCCATTCCCATTTCCCGTCTCAGACCACTGCATCTTCACAGCACCTCTCCCTTCGTGTACATGCCCAAAACAGTGCAATCTTGGCTTCACTCTCTTTACTGCATCGCCTAGCATTTTGCATCCACAGCTCTTTCCTTTCACATTGACATCGAGACCGTAGCCGAGTTCGTCAGTGAATGAAGGCGGTCCATGTGTCATCAAGATGTCGATGTCTTCGGGTATGTCGCGGAAGCGATTCTCGTCTTCTCCGTACGCAAACGCATACCCATTGAACTCCGGCGTATACGGACTCGCCCAGACACTGAAGCTCCTTCCATCCTCCAGCTTGAAGTCATGTTTACCCTCTTCCAGGTAGTATACACCCTCTTTCTCGTGCGACTTCATGAAACTGACACATTTCCCACTGTCTTCTATATCTTCTTCCTCTTCTCCATCTTCAGCGTTCTTGCGCACCCACTCTTCATCGAGATCGAGGTCATGGTTGCCGGCGATGATGAGTTTGAGCTCTGCGTCGACGGTCTGAATGTCTTGCATAGCCTTTTTGTATGCGGGAAGACCGCCGACTTGTGTGAGATCGCCGCAGTGGATGAGGATGTCGCATGGTGGTGCAGGGCAGTCTGGGGTGTAGGGCCAAGTGGAGTGAGTATCGGAAATGACGAGGAGGCGGATGATTGACGACATGGCGGAAGCGAACTTGGGGATATCGTAGATGAGTGAGTAGATGCTAGAGAATCAATATCAATATGTAGTGAGATTGAGTCATGTTCAAAGATCATTGGCATTGGCGTGGAGCCAAGGTTGGTAGAATCGCTACCAAATGATAGACTTGGGCCCACTATTGCAATGCGCATGCCAATCAAAACTAACTATGACCAACCCTCTCCGTCTTCACCCAGTTTAAACAGCCCGTTCTTTTTCTTATCCGCCGCCCACCTGTCACACCAGGCCTTCATCTTCTCTCTGCTCTTTGCGCTGCCCACGTTGACTGTCGGGATGATCTTGTCGATGCGCAAAGCGCAGCAAAACATAGTCAGCTCTCTGAAGCTGCTGTGCTCACTGTACGGCACACCGAAGCAACTTGCCCGACTTCCACTCCCAGCTTGCGGCGTTAGTTCTTTCATAGAGAAGGTACTTCTCCAATTGTCGGAATGCAAGACGGTCTGTACTTGAGGTGACTCGGTAAAGCGACCCTTTGGTGGACGATAGTTCCAGCCCGAGGGTCGAAAGCCGACAACGCGCGTAAAAGTGTCGGCATAATCGCGCAGGTAGTCGTCCAATGTCTCCGCGCGGATCTCGAACAACGGCGTCATGTGTACTTGAGCTGCCCGAGGATCTGTCGTAAGTAGTGCATCCAGTTCAGGGTCCTCAAGCGCTTTGCAGATGCGCTGTTTGTTGGCAGGCGCGAAGATCTTGCTTCCCAGCGCCTTCGCAATCCCAGTGCAGATGCGCTCCTTCCCGATGCTGTATGTGCCCACCACAACCAGAAGTCGGCCTCGTGCAGGGCTTTTGGGCTCGCCGGTAGCGTCGGTATTAGAGTCTTTCCGAACGAACTTGACCATGCCTTGGCCTGCGCGGTCTCGCTTCATCTGCTCCCATCCATCGGAGTCGTCCGCGCGGACTTTGCTGAGACTTACGCACATGTCCGCGCAAGCTTGGATGACCTGTTTCTGAGGCGGAAACGCGTATTTGGGGTTCAGGTAGGTGGTGTCAAGGTAGCAAGCGTCTAGCTTTTGCTGCCGATTCTTTCCACTCACAGCATCGAGGACGTCTGGGCGTAATAGCGGGTGTTCGATGTGCGCTTGACACGCACGGAAGTCTCCGCAGTGTAGCACTCGTTGTAGCTTCGGATTCTTGCCCTTGCTAAGTTCCTTTTCGAACAGGAACAAAGAGCTGCCAGGGCAATGATTCGCAGAGATCATTGTGACGTGGACGCCTTCCGTTCCTGGTACTTCTGTCTTTTTCTCAAAACCCAGATCGACGACCCACTTGGGGTCCACACGAAGCTGTTGTCGTACCAAGTTGCCAGTGACTTTGCTACAGTATATCGGTCCATGCTTCCATGAGGAAGTAAGTCCGATGTAATGATCGCTATGGAAATGACTCAGGAAATAGGCGTTTTGACCTTTGACGGCTCCATACCGAAACGCATCTACAGCAATGAACAACCCTGGCATAATTTTGTAGAATGGGCAGGTGCGTTGGTATGCAGGCTTGCCGCGAGACTTGTTGTTCTCGGCTGCAGCAGATGCCCACGCAGCATCTTCAGCATGGCCGGCCATAAGCTTTGAAAAGGCTGAACTTGGCTGAGCGCTGGGCTTCGCAAGCTGAAACGGGTTGGTTTGGCCAGGTTTAGCTGGCCTGTCCGGCTTTTTGAAAACTTTCGCTTTACTCGTCATGGTCGGCTTGCTCTCCTCCTCAGACTTCACCACAGGTAAAGGGAGTGGATTGCCGTCTAGGCACGCATTGACGTGTACGGATACGTCTTGTTCTGACAGGCCTGGAAGATTGTTGCCGCATATCGGACAGGAAGGTATATCATTGGTACGTGGCTCTTCGTGTTTGACTTCGGTATCATCGCTTTCAGGGAATAGAGGTGGCGCGTCGAAATCGTCCGGGTCGCCCTCAAAGCCTGCCTCTTCCATCTCGAGCTTCTGTTGTTCCTTCATCCATCGCCTTTCATCGTATTCTTCGCCTTCGAGCAGATCGTCGTCTTCCAGATCTTCGTATTCCTCCAACTCTTCGCCCCCGTGTTGCGATGTCGATTCGGATTTTATGGGTGTGGTATCGTGGGATTTGGAGTGTTCGGCACTATCCGGGGGTAACAGGTCCTCCGTTGGTTTAGTCATTGGCGATTCCTCATTATGGCTTCGTATGGTCATACCTGGAGTTGTAGCAGGCATTTCCACTTCGTCGTCTTCGGAGTCTGAGTCGTCCACGAAGGGTCCAGACTTCTTCCGCGGTTTGGGCGCTTGCTTAGAAACATCGGCTGCCAATGCATCCAGAGCATTGCTCTCAGGATCAGCCGGCGGGGGTGGTGAACAGGCTGGCACAGGCGCTACCGCCTCCTCGCTGACTTTGCGCCTCTTGTTGCTCCCACCATTCTCGTTGTACCGCTCATCGCTGTTGTCTGTAGTCATGACGCCATTGCTTTTCTCGTCGCTCCAGCCCACGTCGTCCTCGTCGCCGTCGAGCACTATGGTTGGGTTTGACCCTCGTTCTTGTAGGAATATACGACTGTTGATCTCCTCGGCTTTCTTAAAGAATGCCATGATGTTGCCGTTTGGAGTACCAGCCGGCTTCTGCTTCTTGCCATTGCCAGCGGGCGACTTCTTCGCAAAGTCGGCTGGCGTCAAAGTTGTCTGAACGCTGGTCTTCTTCGGTGGGGGCGCTTTCGTGCTCGGCTTGGGCGCAGCTTTCTTCGTTGCGGTTTTGGCAGCCATGTCTGCTACTCGAGACGATGAGCGGGGTGGCGATGGAGCCCGGCCAGTAGAGGGTGTTAATCGGGACGATTCGGGCAAAGAGCGGTTTTCTCGAGGATTTCTAAACATTGAAGAAGTAATTGCGCATGCCTGAGTAGTGTTGTGGTGCTTGTGTGCTGTGCAATGTGCGAGTGAACCAGTGGCGACCGAATGGCTCAACGCGCGCCAAGACAAACGCGTCGACACGTGCGGAGACGCGATCTGAAAGTGCCGGCTGCTCAATCACGGCATCTTTTTGCAGTCATAAAGTTCCTCGTGTCCTTCACCAGCCATTGCACATATGCTACACATGATCATGCATCTGGCATCCTCCTCTAGTGTATGCGCCCTACAACCTGTGAACCTGTTAAGGTTACTGGCGAATTCGGAGAGCGATTACGTCAGCGAACGCGCTTGTGCCCGCAGCATTGTCTTCCAGCAAACTGACATCCACGAGCAGTTGTCTGCGAGCAACTAAGCTTCTCAATTCTCATGCCGTAAGCATTGAAACTTCATCTCCGATTCGACTCGCACTGTTCAGCGCATTGTACCCTCACTGTCCATGGCCGGTCTGAAATCCTCAGGGGTCTTTTCATCATGTCTGTTCTTCCTGAACGGGCCCCTCGCCTGCATAGCCACTGCTATAAACAGATAGGTAGTAGGATGGCACGCTCATCCGGCCTAGTATTGGCATAAGGACACGCCCTCGTGGGCCAATTGTCGACAAGCTGACGCGGCCACTGCAAGCTGCTGAACGCCATGTCACGTGGCTTTGACGCCCCCGCGATGACTGCGCTTCACCTCGTCATAGGGCGTTATCAACAACTTGATCGTTGTGGTACGATGCTATTCCCTTCGTGTGCACAATCGCTCGGTTGGCGCGGAATCGCATCCCCACAATTCAATGGCCGTGCTGCCCAGCTAAGATCAGCATCAAACATCACCTCGTATCCCAAAACGGAAGCCCAGCCCTCGAGACGATCAAAATAGCAGCACCTCAGAAGTACCATATCTTGAACGCCCTGAGGCATCGAAAATCGTCTCACTCACACGCGATGAAGCGCAGACCCGACGGCCTCTTCCTACTTTTCTTTCGTGTCATGTACCTCACTATCTTCACAGGGTTCACGTGTTTTACCATTCTGGGCTTTGCGGCTATTGGAACTGGCATTGGCATTGCAGCAACAGTTGTAGTTGCTATTGGGTCTGAGGTTGCCTTTGTGCTGGCTAAGAAAGAGGAGGCAGAGAAGCGGAGACAGGAGCGATATCTGGTATGAAACGAATGTACGGCATGACAATTCAAAAAGCTCGGGAAAAGAAGAGGTTCAGGCAGAAGGCCACTCACTCACGGGGGAAAGATTCTGCCGAAAGGGAGGATCCCACGACACGTGTTCTCACGCCTTCCGCATCGACATCGCCGGCGCAACCCATCATTTCGACCAGTTCCGGAGCAACTCAGTTGCCTTTCCATATAGCGGGTCCAGGCGCAGTGTAGCTCGTAGCGATCGGATAGTACGACCACCTCAGCCCAGGATCGTTTGCATTGTATGCTCCAGGGAACGCAACCAGAGGCCCAGGCTGTCCATTACCACCCCCGGTAATTTCGACCTGCGCACAAGACAAATACATCTGCGCGCCGCCGACTGACTGAGCTTGGTGGAGAGCGATGGATTCTACACGGACAAGATACTTCCCACTCGGCACGTTCTTAGGGATCTGGAACTGTACTTGCGACTTTCCTGCCCTAACGTTAGCAACTGAAGGCGAAAGGAAGCTACAAGGAGGGGTATGAAGACGTACCATACGCAGGCCATGTGCTCTCCCCACTCGTCAAGGGATTTCCCACCGCGCTGATACTCGCCGCCTTGAACCAAACGTTACCCGCCGGCTCCCACGTATTGACATTCGCACTATCTGGTACTTTCGCCATATAGAACTGCACTGGTCCGAAGTGCGTAATCGATGTCTCAGCGACGAAGCCGAGGTTATCACCAGCAGCGACAACGGCAGTACCCGTTCCAGGACGGTTCTGGAAACAGCGCATGTCGGGACTAGTGACGGACGTAACACCCGAGTTGGTTTGGTAGTTCTTCGTTTGTCGGATTGAAGTCCATTCCGCCGATTCGGGTACGCCGTTCAGGATGAGCTTGGAGAAGCGGTCTTTTGAGAGTCAGTTCAACTCTTCTGATTACACTGTAGTGAACTTGCAATGAGCTTGCGCCGTCGCAGCGAGGGCGGAGAGGGCTATCAGGAGATGCATTTTAGGCTGTCCAGTCGAAGTTGTTCTGTGAGCACCCACCCGAAGCATCGTAGCAACCCGAATGATATATATAGCAAGTCACTCTGGTCACGCATAGTTTCTTAAATGTGCACTAAGATCTTTATAGTGTTCGGCAACTGAGGATGCACAGGCGAGATGCATATAGATTAATATTATGCACACTGATATTGAGCCAAGCATGTAGATGAGGTGCGTACAATGAAAGCACGCGTGACCATATCACACTAGCTCAATCTACTTGACAAATTCTATCTGAAGCTCGTCTCGTCTGCTGAAGAGGGAACGGACATTATGCGCGAATCTGGCCTTCGAACCGTTTCCACGATTTTGCGCAGACCACATATGCTCGACAGCCGCCACAGACACGTACACTTTCTTGACACCGTGGATCTTTCCGATATGAATAAGGGCGCCTAGGTATGTCCAGGGAAAGAGTGCGTCACTGCGCTGCCATTCCTGGTCAAACCACACCGTATTGATAACTCGCTTTTGAGCAGCCGCTCTATTGCCGAACCAATCTTTCATCGTCATCTCGTCCTGGAAGGAGAATTCGTTCAACTCGTACGGAATGAACCGGGTCTCATGATAGATTTGTCGACAGACGGCTTGGAATAGCGCCATGCGATCGTTGGTCGCGGTGATCACTCGTTCGTGTTCAAATCGCTGCTGCTGCGCCTGATGCCGCATATTAGGAGACACAAGATATGGACGAGATTTGTACGGCTGAGTACGATAGGAGGCCTGCCAGTCAATTGGAAAGACGCAGTTGTGGAACTGCCGCGCTTGTATCTGGGATATCGCTTCGCGTCTATGAGGCGGATCCACACCGAAACGAGCTGGACCGGGAAGATCCACAGAGATGTTCGTGTCGTAGTCGTCAGTGAGGATGTGTACGTGTTGGTGACCAAGAGCATATTCGAAGATGACGCAACGGACTTCTGCTGGGAGAGATAGCAGAGGAGATTGCAAGCTATTACGTTCCACGCTGCGATCTCATTAGCTAAGGAGGAGCTCTACGTGAATTGGATACATACATCGCACTGCGAGGATCATCCGCCGAGAGTTGTGCGTTGAGCTGACTTCCCCGATAGAGGGTGGGCTCATGGCCGTCTCGGAGATTATCCGACCTAGCCATAGCGTCCTTGATCATGGTATCCGCCGAAGAGGTGGATTCGCCATGCTCTACTCGCTGCCTCTTTCGCGCACGCGCGGCTTCTTCGAGTTTCTGGCTTTTGGCCCTGACCGCGGCGGTATCTAGATCATGGAAAACTTCTTGGGGTCGGTCTTCGGGTTTCGCAAGGCGAACAGAGCGGCGAACCATGGTGATGTTGGGGATTTGTCTCGCTGACGTGTTGAGTGTGGGAAAGAGCGAGTAACAGCTTGAGCAGGCCTTCAGCTCAAGGTAGGTGCAGTGGACCAGTGTGGGTCACCTGGGCAACGGCTGACTTAACCCCTCGCACGTGCTTTAGGCTTCACTGATGCAGCAGTCATCGAGCACCTAGGGTAATGAGATCCAACAATAGGAAAATATCAGCTGGTGCAGTACGTACCTATGAGTTCGGTTGCAACCGAAGACGCCCTTGGAAGATCGGGCACATTAGTACATGTCACCCGTACCCTACGCAATTGCTAATGACTGAAGGCGGAGGATCTTCTTAATACCAAAACTTTAGCAATGTCTTGTGCTATTATAATTGTATTAGACAATGACTTCACTGCAAATAGCTACCCAAATTCGAGCGGAGAAAGTACGCTAGAGTGTAAAGGCCTGGCGTGTCGTTAGCGTGCCTTCCGCACACTTACATCCATGGATCGCTTCCTACTCGTCTAAACCCGTAGCACTCTCAGCGTCCGGCGTACCCTCTTTGCAGAGCTTCTACCTAGGTGCATCCCTCTCCCCGTTTTCCGACACAACCATGCCCCTTATGAGTCCACATCCGCCCGTTATGCGCCTCTGTAAAGAAGGCGACACAGTCGATAGCCGTGTACGGCTGGGTCTCACTAAACATGGTCTCCTCGACACGAGCAGATTAGCTGTCTGCCTTACGTGAGCTACGAACGATGCACCCACGGTGACACAAGCTAACTCACGGAAGTGCTGAGAGAAACAGGAGCGCGTCGCCACTTCTTCGTTTGCCGGCAGAACTGCGAAATGCGGTCTTCACCATGGTTCTGCAGAAGCCATGTCTGCAAATACGCGATTTTGTTGTTCACACCCTGACTGCGGATGTCATCTTGAGAACGGAGATCTGCCACGGGCAACTGAACAAGGCGCTTGTATCAGATGACGAAGCTGGATCGTACCGGGCACTATCGCTTGTCTGCAGACAGATGTACGACGAGACCTGCTTGTTACCATACGCCCTGAACTCCTTCGGCTTCACGTCAATGAACGCCCTGAGAATCTGGACATCAAGCCGTCTCCCCATACAGTTACGGCAAATCAAGGTGCTAAAGACTCCAATTTCTTTTGAACGAGCATACTTCGAGCAGTCATCCTGCAGATTCACAGACCTATTCCCCCACCTTGAAGTGCTTTACGTCGACCTATGGAACGCCCGGTTTTCTTGCGAAATGAATGGTTGGTCGGCCGACCAGATTGAGCAGGACATTCAGGAGAGGACTAAAGTACTGTTGCAAAGGGAGAGGAGTGGCCTGAAGATTGTCGTTACGGAGTACACACATGTCGGTGTTGCTGGGACAAATATCCTCCGGGGGGTCTGAAAGAATTGGATACGGCGATGACTGCCAAAAGGGGGTTACAAATGAGATGTGGTTACAGCACAACGTATTTGTCGTTACTGTATTTTATGGACATGGCCGGGTTCTGCCCAGGTGCGGAGGTGAGAGAAAGTAAGTTCTCTGACGTCATCTTGATACAGAAATAGCTAGACTACATCTGAAGATGCCTCCACCGAAGTCTTTTCAACCGCTCAATTATGGTTCTCCAATCCCAAGCCCTGTATGACATCCCGCTTAGGTACCCAAGAGCTTTATTGCAGAGAGTTTCACGGAACGATGGATGAAATGTCTCTCATTGACCTTAGCGCGGAGAGTCGTGGTGTCCGTTACATTCACAGGTCGCAGATGAGGATACCGACACTACATGTGCGCATGATGAGTCGCATCATCTCCTAATACAAGAGCAGGCAGTTGTATCACCAGCAATCACCGTGCCAGATACCTTCGACACGCGGTGAGGTTCCTAGATAAGCGTTAGTCGCCGGCGCCGGCAACCTGTCGTTCCTCTCACCATCACCTTTCATATTGGTCGACGTACGGGCTTCACCAGTCTCAAAGCGGATAATTCATCTGGATCAATCCTCGCACATGTCCCATCTTTCATCGTTCATTTCATCGCCCAATATGCGCACGTCTCCGATCTTGCAGTTATCAAGCTCTCTTGAGTTTGTTCTCCTTCAACCACACGCTCTCTTCACAAGCAATAAGACCATATTGAGTCTCAAGTATGGGCTCACCCGAACTGCCCGCTCGCTCTTCAGCGCCGAAAGATCACACAATCTCCTCGAAACGTACAAAGGTCGTCAAGAAGAAAGCTCCCACAGTCCGCAAGCCCAAACAGCTTGGTCGCAGGTACATGAACGGGTTGATGAAAGCCGAGATTCCTGCTCGCTCAGAATTGATGAAGATGTACATGCGACTCCACAACATACCTCCTATGAAAGCTGACGCACAACAGCGCCAAATCCAACTCCATCCAGTCTCCGCTTCTCAGTCTTCCAGCAGAAATCCGCAACAAGATCTGGGCCTACGCTGTTGGCTATCATCAAGTCGATATCCATGATTACTCCTGTGTTCGCAGATGGGATATCAGGCTCACGCATGTCACGCACCCTCTGACCAAAGGCCCGAATACTTCGTCCAGCTTTGTCCAACCCACTTTTGCGGTCCCCAAAGTATGTCGCCAAATGTACGTTGAGTCATCGGCAATGGTCTACAGCTTGAACAATTTCGGATTCGATAATCTGGACACATGTGACCGATGGATCCTGTGCCGCCCACTCGGCCAGAGACGTCTCATCGTCTCAGTGGACATGCCATTCGGGTACTACAGCCTCTACAAGGACGGTTTCCGCAAACTCCTGCGACAGACGTTCCCGGGTATTGCGAGAGTCAATCTTCACACCAAGATGGCCGAGATGAGTCAACGTATCGTTACTAGCACTTGGTTCCACACAGTACCTACCAGGGAGCCTCTCAACGACACTAAGCAGAGGTTCGTTGACCAAGTCAAAAAGAAGGAGGGTGATGGGATTGAGGTCGGCTGGTACAGTGGGACCGCCAACTCTTTGGTCTACCTGCACTATTGAGTACGTTCGGTTGTGGCAGCGTCTTATGCAGCCAGCTGCTGTTCAAGAGTTTGTTGAGGATGTTGGGGAACGATGCCTTTGCTAAGACCCGCACAACACTTTGCGGTAAGCGTCCTTGCATAGACTGCCTACGAGATGTACACTGACTACGTAGACCTGCATTTAGTGTACACGATCTTTCACGACCAATGTCCGACAGAACTTGGGCATCGACCACACCGGTTTGGCATTCTGAGATGCATAACTCATCTGGCCATTGTGCGCTCAGGTTCCTGGAGCCAAACACCCATTCGGAAGATGACGATCATCGAGATACGACCAACTGGGTAAGTATCTTCTTCCATTTATCAGCATTTGTTGCAGCTTTTTCTTCAGCGTTTGTTCCAGCGTTTGTTTCATTTGGGCGTTCACCCAATCTAATACGGTCCGATCTTGTGTTTTTTCGTTGAGGGCGCAAATCTTTGCGCAGAGTAAGTCCCTGGCTATAGATCGGGAGAAAGGTTGTCGAGTGGCGAGAAAAGAGAGTAGAACATGATGTCAGGGCTTTGAGGGGGGCGGAGTGGCTACAAGAAATTTAGAATATTCGACACGAAGGTGCTTGCGCTGTCGCACATGATTCACCGAACCTCGACCGGCAGTGAGATCTGGAGCTCCCGATGACGACAAGGGACATGCACCTGACAAAATTCTGGACTTACCTCTCATCATGCCAAGGAATTTCATCAAAAGATATGGATGCGAACAACTTCCGCCATCATACATCAAGAAAACAGGCTCGAATTAGACCTGCCTCAACAGAACAGACAAGCCTTGCATTGAATATGATAAGAAAGACCAGAAGTGGTTAGGTATACTCGAAAACAAAAGGAAAACGGCAAGAGTTCATGCACATGTCGTCGCAACCCAATCGCACGTTCCCCGTGCGAACCTTCGACTCGAGAGAAGCACCGTACAACACACTGCCTCAGTGCCAACTAACACCCAACTAGCCCGTCCAGCTCCTCGTTATCCATCTAACAGCACTCCGCCGCACACTCGCAGCAATCAGCGCAGCACTCGCAACCCTCTTCGCACACAAAACAACAGCACAGTGTCGCCAGACTAGTCTTCCGTTAGCCAAAGTTCAACCCTCGAGTATATCGTGCCGAACTTACCAAGCCGCCAAGCATCCTCTATCCTTCTTCTGCTTTGGTTGTGGTGGTGCCTGTTGGTATTGTCCTTGCGGGGGACCGTAGTACATCTGTTGTTGTGGTGGTGGAGCGCCGTATTGTTGGGGTTGGCCGTAGCCGCCGCCTGGGGGACCGTAGCTGTGATGGAGTTAGCACTTGTTCGCTCTTCGACTACGTAGATGTCTTTTGCGGTTGCAGGGGAGATTGGGTGTGCGCGCGGCTTTGCGCGATATCGCCTGTGCTTGTAGACGGTCGTGAGAAGCGTACCTTTGTTGTGGGTACTGAGGCTGAGGCCCGCCTTGGTAGTAGCCTTGGTTCGACATGTTGATATAAAACGGCCTTTGAGATGTTCGTAAGAATGGGAACTACGGATTAGGAGTCGCGCTCGTGATTAATTCGATACGTGCTCGCAAATTGGTCTTTCGTTCGTCGATGATGGAGGTAAGACAAAGGCAGCCGGTAATGGTGAATCAGGCAAGCAGCAGTCGCGCAACCGAGTCTCGTATCCTCAAACCAAGCTTTCGCCGAGGAGCCGTCCGAATCTTAATTTCTCGCTTGTTAAAAACCCGCGTCACCGTTCAAACTCGTTGCGCAACGGTCAAAGTAAAGTCAGAAGTCAAGTGAGTAGACGGCTGGAGGAAATACAGTGGACCCTTCTTACAGTCCGGGGAGGGGATGCGCCGCCTTTAATCTGCAGCGCCCGCGTTCGCGCCCTCCTTCTCACGCGGACAGGGCAACGCATCACTCGGCCGGTCTATTGGGCTAGTTAGCCTGAGCCACATTCGCTGCCCGGCTGTGCGCCGGGCTATTGGCGCAAATAAGCCGGGGGCGCGAGACATGCTGTGGGCCTTCGTCATCGCCACAGATGCTTGTCATGCTTTTTGACAGTGCCAACGCGATGTCGGGGGATTTCAAGGCGTGGCTGAGTTATGGCCGAAGCTGCGATGATGATGTAGTTGGCCGAGGTCTATCCACGTACTTTACGGTGAGTGCAAGGTCTGGCATCACTCGATGAGCAGAGCCACAGACGCGTGCGCGGTTTTGCGTGGATACGACATCGAATCGGCCTGCTAGCTAGCCAGCCACACATGCATCGCAGGGATATCGTGCCACCTGATGTGTCAGGCTAAGCTTTACTTGGCAAAGGCTTGGTCTCGCATCTGCCTCGCGCCAAGGGTGAACGACAGCTCGAGAACAGGGGTAATTCGTCCTGCATATGTAACATGCAATGTCTGTTATCGCAGTGCCTTGTTAGAAGTATTCCAATCTGGTTGACGTGCAAAAGTTCACGTATGATCGTGACTGCATCTCACCGCCAATCCTCTCTGAGCAACTCAGCCATCACGCCACGCATGTCAGCCGCAGTCTAGACCACACCATTGCCGGACCGATAGTACCACGTCCACATCTGAACTAGAGGTTCGCTCAATTTGAAGAGATGGCTACAGAGGGCAACATGCTAGCAATGAGGGCAAAACGAAGCTGGTAATTGGGAGTCTTAAGTGCACGCAAATGCTACGTGGCTTGATGAAGAATGCTATCGAGCCTTACGAACCCACTCCGCGAAACAACAAACAGGCACGGCAGAACTTATGTACATATACAGTATCAGGGTAATTAAGTGAAGGCCCCATAGGTAAACAAAGGGGTGCGACAGAACAAACAGCCACCGCGAGCGAGATTAGAAGCCGAACGGGTTTTGGGGTGCTGGTCAACGGTTAGAGAGGTCTTGCATAGATATATTTTCGAACACTTACTGGCGTTGGCAAGGTTCGCCCTCCCCGTCGGCTGGGGCGTTAGTTTCTTCGCGGGCTGTACACCAAATTTGATGGTCGGCGGTGGGCCAGTCTTCTGGGGCACCAGAGGCTGCGCTTGGGGCATTGGCGGCATGGGAGGGACAGGCGGCGGGCTTTGGTTCGACATGTAGCCAGTCGGCTGTGGCGCAAGGGCCGGAGGCAGGAAGCGGTTGACGCCAGTCGCCTGGGGGTTAAGCGGCGATGGTTGGAACGAGTTGTACCCCGTAGGCTGAGCCTGTAGTGGCTGGAAAGGTGCCCGTGGTGGGTCGGCAAAAGGGCTGCCATTCCCGAAACCTTGTGTGAAGTGTGGCTGCTGCTGCTGGAAACCTGTCTGCATGGGCTGCTGAAAGCCGGTTGGTTGCTGTTGTTGGTATTGGGCGAATCCAGTCTGCATAGGCTGCTGCTGGGGTGGGGACATGGAGTTGTAGCCGGTGGGTTGAGGCATCATGCCGTTCTGCTGGAACCCGAAACCGCCATTTTGCTGTGGGAAGCCTGTCATTTGCTGTTGCATTGGTGGCATACCCTGCATGCCTTGGCCTTGTCCAGAGTTTTGACCCATGAGGTTGGGGTTGTAACCTGTGAGCTGAGGTTGTAGGGGTGGTGGGGGACCGAAAGCACTTTGTTGTGGGTTCATAGGGGCAGAGGAAGAACGCTGCGGCGGTGGAGCAATGAGACCTCCAGGACCCTGCTGCTGGGGGGCTTGTGGGCGCATGCGCGGTGGGGCCATGTTGTGAGGTTGGGTAAGGGCCTTGATAGCTGCAACTTGCTCGAAAAGGGTAGGAGTAGCGCCTGTTGGCTGCGGTTGCTGAACGGGTGCTGGAGGCTGTTGAGCAGGTGCTTGTGCTGGCTGAGGTGCGGGAGCAGGAGGCGTTGGCTGCGCGATCTCGTCAGGCTTGAGTGCAGGCATATCTAGAAGAGACAAATCGTTCATGGATCCAGTCAGCTGGGGTGGTTTTGCGGCAGGGGCTTGTGCTGCAGGTGGAGATGCTGTCTTGTCAGATGTTGACTTGGATGGCTTGACATCCCACGCATTGTCGTCAAACCCGTTCGCTGTCTTATCAGATGTCGCTGCTGACGTCCCGTCTGCGGGCTTCTTAACGGTGTCATCGGACTTCGGTTCAAACGCCTTTGGATCAACGACATCATTCGTCTCGACCGGTGGTGCAGGACGTCCCTTTCGGGTGTTATTTCTCAGTGCACCTCCTGGACCTGAGAACAGTCCACCAGAAGCTCCTTCTCCTCCCTCTTCAGCAAAGCTAACACTTCGCTTATCTCTTCCGAACTGCGCGTCCAAGTGCTTGGTCACACGGAGAATGTCACCTTCCTTGAGACCCAACGTACGCAGAAGCCCAGGAGTGATGTCTGGAATGTTTTCTTCTGTCATCTCGTCCTTGGTAAATGCCCTGGCATATCGTTCGCAGATCTGTGGGTTGACACCACACTTGAGGAAGAAGTCGAACCAGTCGTATTCCGGCTTCTTCTCGACGGAAATACCGGTTGGACCTGAGTCCTTCCCACGAGGCTGTTGCATGCTCCTCCTCTTCAAATCCGATAGGGGTTTGTCGTCATCTAGAGACTCGCCTGTGACGCGTTCAACGTACTCGAGGTCTTCTACTGACATCTTTGTGACAGGTACGGCGATCTTGACGCCATTGACTTTGTGTAGGTGGATCTTGCCATCCTTGATGAGAATGAACTCTGCTTCGACCTTGAACGATCCGGATCGGTCGGTCCAAGTGCGTACCTTGGCGGAATCTAAGAAATTTGGTCAGCATCCTTGCACACAATGCGTGTTCTGTTGTCCCACTAGGTAGATGTTCAGCGCCCACGAACGGCGCAGAACCCTTTTCAGTAGACAGATCAAGAAACTCAAGTAGTGAAATTGCTGTATACTGACTTGGTTTGGAGCCGGACTTTGAACTCGAGTCCTTTGCGGAGCTTTCGCGCTTGCTTGATGATCTCTGTGAAGTACGACGATGGTCAACGTTTGTTTGCATAAGACTAGAGTTACGCGAAGGCAAGTGCAGGCCAGGGCCTACCTGATCGTTCCTTGCCTCACTTTCTGGCTTCTTCCGTCTCGCAGCCTGGCGAGCAAGCTCTTCCTCCTCCCGCCTATTCTGTTCGACAACGGATCGGCCAGCGTTGGTTCCCGATCGAGCGATGGCAGCTGCGGGAGCGTGTATGGGGACGGTTTCTGTGACCTCAACGTAATTAGCTGGTACCACACCCTCTTTGCCGTTCTTCAGCCGCCTGACTTTCCACCACTCGTCACTTGCGGAATCGTCGAGGACTAAGATCTCGTCGCCGAGACCAACGGTAACTTCGTCATCACCCTGTGCCATGAAGTCAAAAAGCATAACTCCCTTCTTCTGCACATTGGAGTTTCCGGAGCCAGCAGCGAGTACTTCGCGAAGTCCTGCGCTCTTAGCCGCTCCTGCAAGCTCACCAAGGGCGAGCATGATCTCTGATGCGGTGTCTTTAGCACCACAGTGAAAGTCGACGCTCTTGCTTGGCTGCTTCAGCTCCATGAATATGTGTTTGCCTTCTTGCGAGTAGTACTCCATCTTGTCAGCGCTCCACTCCTGTTGCGGTCCGTCGCGCGACTTCTCGGGTGCAATCATGATCATTCCTTTCGGGATGTTGACACCCAGGGTGATGGGCATTTTCTTATTCTTGCCTGGCTGTGTAATGTACTCGTAGATGTTGTACAGATGGTAGCCCGACCCCGACATGGGTGTCGCGGGCTGCTCGTCCCTGCTCGGAGGATCATATTGGTCGAACGTGACGCTTCGGGGCGGTGGCGATCTGACTGGGGGCGATGGGGATCGCGCGTGTGCGTATTGGGTAGGCGGAGGTGAGTAGACTTCGGACTCGGGTCGCTGGGGAAGACGGGGTGCTGGCACTTCTTCGTCCGACTCTTCCGGGGTAAATTGCACGCGTCGTTGCTGTCGCGGAGGCGCGCTTACGTTGGGCGGAGGAGAAATAGTCGATCGCGGTGCTGCCTCTTGCGACTTCTTCTGTATGATGCCAGCCAGGGCCGCAGCCGGACTCGGTTGTGGAGGCGTGTCTGGAGTAGGCGGCTGATCGTCGTCGAAAGAGTCGGTCGCTGGTGGCATGGGCGGGCGACTAGGCAGCGCGGGAGATGGCGCAGCTGGTGCTCCTGCCGCTGCTCCCTCTTCAGTGAGCTCGATATAGTTCGCGGGCGCAAAGCCATAGTCGTCTGCGACTCCGACCAGCGTCCAGTCCGGGTCGGTGGTATCGTAAACGTCTAGGACGGCGTCCTCCTTGAACGAGAGCTCCTCGTCCGTCTGGCGGTCGTAATCGAAGAGGGCTTTGGCTTGTGCGACTGGGGCGGCCTATACGTATCATCAGTCTCTATGCTGCAGCATTCCACACAATGCCTGGTGCAGCGTTGGGCATGGTTTGCGACGCGGATTGGGCTGTCATCGGAGTGAGGCGCAGCGTACCTCTTCAATGTAATTGTTCGGGATCAAGCCCTCGGGCTCTTCCTCGTCGCCATCGCGCCCCTTCTTCTTTGCTTTCCACCAGGCGTCGATGGTCGACTTCTCCAGCACCATCAAGATGTCGCCCTCGTTCAGGGCGATCTCATTGTCGCTCTGGGGCTCATAGTCGTAGATGGCGCGATATATGCCGAGGAACACCATTGTGGCGGCTACACGTGCAGCGCAGTCTCAAAACGCGTGTATAGTGTGGTGAAGTAGATTACTGAATGTGTGTACGGCCGGCGTCGATGCGCATAAGCTCGGCGGAGGGCCACGGGGGTGCTGTTGCCCGGTCGAGGGGCCAGCTGGACAGGGGGAAGCTGCGTGACGCTACCAAGTCGGCGCCAGCAGCTGGAGAAGCAGAAAACAGCGAGATTTGAAGAGAACGGGTTGCTTGGGGCGGTAGGCCGGGACTGCGGGATCGCTCGTGCTGTAGCAGCGGAAAGTGGTGAGGCAGCTGCGAGTTGGGTCGACGATGCAAGTGAGGACTCAGCACGAGCCAACTGTCCCATACGGTCGTCCCCACCGACGACGTCAACCCGCTTTCATCCCATGTTCCTGCGACTTGTCAAGCATGCCGGCGGACGACTACCTGCATGACAAGTTCGAAAGACTACATGAACTCAACCAGAACCAGGCATCACGAGGTATTGGTACAGTAGATATTTCTTAGCGTCTGCCTTAGCTCAACCACATTCCGCCCTTCACTCAGTACGTAAACCGGAAACCTTCTGTGCCCTCTAGGAGACGCTTCCCCCTAGTCTGCCGCTTGTTCGCCATGTAGAAAAACACCGAGAACACTCCCACCAATCCAATGATCAAGAGGTGACTTCCTATGCTGACCCAGATGGCCGTCATATACCTCGGACTTTCTGGTGCTCTCACAATGAAGCTTCCAGCGATACCGCCAGCGCCGTTGAAAGCTGTGACCATTGCGGCAGTGAAAACCCTCTTCCACTGACCGACAATGTTATTCGCCTGATAAGTCGCCATGGCCGCCCAATTCGCCACGTACGCTCCGGTGGCAAGGTAGGTGCCTATATACCTCACGGTGACCTGGTCCGAGAAGCCCAGCATACAGAAACCTACAATCAAAGATACGCAATTGAAGACTATGATAGGCCCTCTTAACTGGAACTTGTCGCCGACGATCGAGGACAGGATAGCGGGAATAACAGCGTAGTAGTAAGGTGGTGCGGATAGCAAAATTGCCTTGTTTGAAGAAAAGCCCATGCCGGTTTGCAAAATGATGGGTAGGAAGTAAGACAGCGATGTCGAGACGAGGTTCTGCAGGAAGTAAAGGGTGCAGAAACCGTACACCTTCGGATCCTTGGCATGAACGAAGACTTTAGACCATGCGAAGTCGTCGGGTTTGACATCGCCCCTGTCGTTGTCGATTCGAGAAGACGCCAACGCACTTTCGTGAGGCGTGAGGAAGTAGAAGGAGTTTTGGGCATGCTCCGGGAAGTCGACCATCCACCAATATGTCAGAATTCCGAAGAACGCAGTAATGCTCCCTTGCACGACGAACATCCACTGCCAACCCTTGAGATATGTGCCGTCGAGCTGATTGAGTCCGAAATTAACAATGCCACCGGTTGCCAAGACAATGACTTCGCCACTCTGCATCAGAGCAAAGCGAAGTTGTTGCTCTTTCCGCGTATACCATGTTGAGATGAGATACGTCAAGCCGGGATAAATTCCCGACATAGCTATTCCAAGCAGGATGCGTAGTGCAATCATCTGTCGCCATGTCTGCACGAAAGCTGTGCACAGTGTGATGATGCCGAAGCAGAAGGTGATGAAGGCAAACCAGATGCGCGGACCGAAGGTGCGCACGGCGATTGTCGATGGTAGCTGGAAGGCAATGCTCGCGATCGTGAAGATAAATATGGAAACAGAGTATCGGTTGCCGACATTTAGTTCCAGATCGCTAAGCATGGAGGTGACAGATGCGCTAGAGATGACGCCGCTGTCAAGTAGATTGAGCGAGCACAAGATGCCAGCAATGCTGCAAAGTCGTAGATCGACCTTTAGGCGGATACTGTTGCGCCACTCTTCCTCAATCCTATCTCTTTCTCCATCGTCAATTTCATCGTGCTGTTAGTCGTGTAATTCCCGAATTGACTCGTCCGCTGACTGTTGGCTGGATGCACTCTTCTTCATGTTCTCGCGATTGGGAGGGATGAGGGGTAGCAGGAGTCTGCGACGAAAAGCTCATCATGTAGGTCGCCTGTGGAAAGAGCCAGAACGTGCTTATCGTAGCACAATCCAAATTGGTGTACATATCCGGCTGCAGAAGCTCCGCACTTTCCCAGGTGCAGATCTCCAGGGCTCCGTTGCTTACCGAGGCGCGGTTCCGCACGATAATTCCGCAGCAGATTACTTAGCAATGACCAAGCCGCTGATGTGGAGATCTGCATGCGGCTATCATAGACTTACCTGTCGCACATGTCGTCAGGCATGTCAAAGCGCCGTCCGAGTCTGGCGAGAGGCTGACGTTGGGGATAAATGGACTTGATGTACAGAAAGGCAGGCATCATCGGGGGTGTCGCAATTCCAAGGTTTGCTGCATGCACACTATTTTATTTTAGTAAGTTGTTTGCAAGACAATGCATACTTTCACTTAGCCATCTTCCTGAATGCGACACAGATTGTAGACACCGCTAGTGGCGTAGCTCTAGTGAGCAAGACAGAGCCTCAGGTAAGCCGGTGTATGCTGTCCAAATGCCGTGGACAAGAAGACGCCTGCAGTCTCTGAGCGAACATCGGACTTTGCCATGCGACTGTGATACACATCACACACCTCCCGAGAACACAACTCGATCCTGACAGGTCGGTTTCACGCACAATGTGATATACCACAAAGTCATACATGGCATTGGTGAGGTGGTCTGTCACGTACAACTTGAACTTCAAGGATGCGACATCAGTTTGCATTCGCAAAATCCAATCTGGGGGAATGGGATGATATTGATTTTCTCCGATGAAGGAAGACCCTTTCTAGTATAGCCACTGGCTCTCCTGGCCAGTGGTTTGGGTATCTTCGCCAAGCTAGATAGCGAGTGTGGGTATTGATCGTAACAGACAAGACAAGAAGAAGAAAAAAAGATAATGAAAAGATACAAAGGATAGTCCACAATTCAGCAGACGAGAAATAGGAAGTAACAACAGAACTCCCAACATCCGAGTGAGTGCCGTATGCTCCGACCGCCCTGCCTTATGTGTGACCCGAATCCGACCCAGTCCATTGATAAGACAATTTGTGTGTGAAAGTGTCATTAATCTGACAACAGGGGTAAAATGCATAAACCAACCGGGTGTCCCAAAAGCACTCGCTTCGTAAGTCGTGAAATGAAGGGGAGCTCCTTGGAGGAACTCTCAAGAAGATCAGGTGTCGAAATTAAAAGGGTATAGAAATCAGATCGACGGGAGTGGGCAGAGGCCCGGGCGGGAGGAGAGCCTAGCCTTCATCCTCACCATCGTCTTCGTCCTCATCTTCATCCTCTTCGCTCGTGCTGTGGCGCTGCACGGCACCTGCCTTGTTCTTCTTGATGGTAGGTGTTCCCTTGAGTTGTGTAGATGATGCCTTGCGCTTGGGGCCAGAGCTGGTAGGCTTGGGAGGCATGGACGCGTTTTCCTTGTTGCCGTCTTCACCCTCGCCTTTTCCGGCTGCGTTGTCCATCGCAGCCACCTCTTCTGCGGTCAAGAAGCGACCGCCAGGACCACGGGGACGGCGCATGGCGTGATTGTGCCTAGACTCGTGTAGGTATGGCTTTCGACCCTTGGATGTCAGCCGAAGTGCATCCTCGAGTTTCTGTCGCGCGAGACGCCTTTTCAGGATGCGATGGAATTGTTTCGCGTTGACATAGAGTGGCGCCTCTTCTGGTTGTGCACCTCCAGCGACAAGCTCAGGCGATTGTTGGTGCTGCGATTGCTGGGGCATCGGAGGGACGGAGGGTCTGGGGCCGCCATGGTTCATGACAGGCTGTGGCTGCTGCATCGCAGGACTACTGATTTGAGTGCTCATTCGCCTTTGTTGCATCTGAGTCGGGGTCATCTGAACTTGAGATGGGAGCGCGTTGTTCATCGCATTGGAAACGTTTGTCGGTGATCGTGGAGCGCGTCCATCGCCCTTCATCTGGGATACTGACATGCGTGGAGATGCGCGTGGGTCTTGTGCTAGTTGACCTGAGATGGCGGTTTGATCGTAGTATCCGGCTGGTCCTGCTGCAGCAGCGGTAGCTAACGCAGCAGCCTGTTGGTGTTGTTGCTGTTGAGAGGGCATGTATGGATTTTGCATGCCAGCCATGTAGGCCTGATGCTGAGGGAAGCCCATCTGCGGGTGGTGCTGGGGATGTGGTTGGCCGTTATGCGCGAAGTTTCCATTTGATGGAAGGATTGGGGACGACTGCTGCTGTCCGAACTGCATTTGCTGCGGGTTGGGCGCGGGCGCATGCCCGTGGAATTGTGCGTAGTCGGTCATGGCTGTCTACAATGCGTAGATTGTGGGCCTATTTGCGTGAAGACGAGGTAGCGAGAGGCTCGCAGTTGAGGCGCGTAATACAGGCAGGCGGTCACGTCGCGGCAGGGCCGATACTTGATGCGCTGTCAATGGCCAGGCGTGCTTGAGGCGAATTCGCTAGAGCGCACGGCTTTAGCTTCCAGGTTTGAGGCGCAGCAGTGGTGATTGGACGTCGAGGGGCAGTGCGCGTTTACAAATGATGGAGCGATTTGTCGAGGATGAAGCTGCACTCTAGAGGCCCGCGCCGTAGTAGTGGGGAAGAGCCGTTGCAGGTATTCACCAGTCACGAGAGGAAGATGAGAGTCGCCTACAATGATTGTCAGCCAAATCAAAAGAGCATTGGACGCTGTGCTGGCGGGGTGGGCGATTGGAAGGGATGATGCGCTGGCATATGCATGCGCGGTGAGCTAGTGCGCTTACCTTGTTTCGTCAGTTGGCGGGCGTCAAGGTCGTATTGCCGGTCTGAATGCTCTTCGGGTTTGAAGTCTAGGGCGACCAGCGAGCGGACAAATGTATATTGTCGTTGCGCAATGACAGCTTTAGCAGCGGCGTGGTCCAAGTAGCGGACAGAACGCGGGATACAAAAGGCTTGGTGAGCTTTGTGTTGCCTTGAATGCGACGTCAGCCTCTAGCATGTGAAGTGGAGGCAAGGCGCGCGAATGTGTAGCACCAGAGCATGCGGCATGCCTGTAAGCCGAAAAGGAAAATGAGAAGCATAGCGAGGGACGGTAATACAGTCTTGCGACGGCGACGGGAGTGAGTGAATCGATGCGCCGTCGCTTGAAAGGACTTGATCGTCGGACATGGTGATAACGAGTTGCATAGCGCGACGGAGTGGACTTACAGGTGCTTGCGTCTTGCAGGAAGATTGGATCCCGTGATCTGCTTGCCGTTCTATGGCTGCCCAGGTGGGAGATGCAGACAGGTCTTGAGTCCGGCCTGACGAATTGCTGAGAGCCGAGAGCAGGCGGTGCCTTTTGGAGGCAAAGCAAGCTTGGGAGCTGCGGAGAAGCTAGGGTGTATTCTTGTGGTGTTCCGCGCGCCAGTCCGCGCAAACACGTCTTGAGTGAGATGAAGATGGCGAACTTTAGTGAGGGAAAAATGATTCGTCGAGGAAGGAACGAGGGCAGGCGCTGAGGACGCTTTCTATTCGTGCCTGCCCAACGCGCTAAGCGAGCAGGGACCCGCTTAATACCTGGTGAGTCTAAGGCAGCCACACACGGCATCTCTCTACGTCACGACGAGACGGTATGCCGCTTCCCAGACGGAACGACACAGATGAGTGCGCGTATCTGTCTCTCCCCATTCCATTCTCGAGTTTTCACGTTGATACTGGATGATGGCAGAGTGTAGGCCATTCGAGCGGGGTTGCGATGCAAGAGCCCGAGGCTAACCCGACCCGTGACGCTCGTGGAGAAGGCACGTGCATTTCCAGCCTCCGCGCCGCCCGGGACTATCCATCTTCTCCTCACACGCGCTGCGATATCGAATTTCCTGGTTCAGACAAATCACAATTCACGCGACCTAAAAAACAATCGGTCAATTTGGTGTATAGCCAACTGCAGGCGTCAGCTAAGCTGGCATATCGCGGGTGATTGGCGCCCCGTCGAAATTGCGCCCAGTGCCCCCAGACGGATGATCCGTCGGGGCTGTAGGCGCCAAACTCTGAACGAGCTCTAGCTTCTGAACCCACCACAGCGATTCCCAGCAATTCCCAGCAGAACGCTCCGCATCGAACAAGGAGTCGTTTGCGCAGCTACCTTCCATAGCCTTCAACGTCTGGACGCGCTCGACTAAAAGCCGCCTCCTACGTCTATTGGCCCAGTTCCTGTCTCGCCTCCGTCTCAACCCATCCAGCATGGTCTGGATAGCTCAATGTCATGGAGTACCACGTGGGCAAACCTCATTTCTTCCCTTCTCTTCAGACCTGCATATGTGCACCGCCGTCACATCAGCTGTAGCGTAAGCACAACAGAATGCAGATGCAAGTGGGCCAAAGTCAGACCCAGCCTCCACTTCGACGTCCAAGCTTGTGATCGTCAGACCCTGCTTCGCACGGGAAAAACTGTACAAAACAAAGGAAATGCTCAAGCTGGACTGGGAACCTGGCTCTTCGAGCCGAGACGCATATCGTCCCTGGTCTCAAGACCGGTAAGCCTGAAAACCAGCCACCGATTTCTCCTGTGTCGCACATCGCTGCGTCATCCTAACCTCCACGCCTCGGGCCCGCGACAGTGGCTCGGCCGCTCTGCCAAGTCACACCACTTTGTTGATACTTCGGCCCATCCCTAACATGTGCTCTCGTCCGCGGCTGAAGACGGATGTCATCTATAATGCAACCACTACTCAGACGTAAGGGGCACTAACTCCTTGCCCGGATTTTGCTTCGTGCTGCTTCGGCAAACCCGTCAACTCTAATGACACCCAACCCTACCTCTGCCGGCATGTTGGGGGTAGTTTGGGTAGTATCAGCCGTTGTTGGTTGCTTTTGTTCTGGACTCTGACCGCGATGATGTGATTTCATTTGTCCATGTTCCACGACAGTCAATCAAAAGCCTCACTCATGCCGTCGCATTTACGCGAGGTGTGATCCCAAGTACCAGAACCGTACCGATCCAGCTCGGCTACGTATCTGCCAGCCCTAAAACGCAGCGTATCAGTTTCGATCGCTCATCATGTTAATCTAATCAGGTTACATCTTCCGCTGACGTGCATGATCCCCTCCACGCGTTCATCCTTCGTTTACCACAAGCTTGGTGTGCAAAACACGAGGGCTTTCACAGGAAGTCGGCATTTGCAGAACTCGTCGTTACCGCACCACGCTTCATTCCACTCTTTACAGCATGAACACCGAATCTTTGCCTCGATAACGAAATGATCAGTGGTGTAATCTTGGGTTCTTGCTAGAGTTTAGTTCAACTGCTCCACATGGGCTTATCCGGACACCCGTAGCCGTCCGTTTCGCGTTCCTCTTCGGATCAGGCATTTATCGTCAGCACACCCCGGATGAAACCAATGCGAGTTGGCAAGGGAACATCGGTGAAGTGCCTGTCGCATGCGTCACTACACTCGTTTCATCTTAATCTTGCTACACAGTGCGGCTCTTGCAGTCGTTGATGTGCGATTAGCATCTGCCCCATCGCAGATCCCCCAGACGTTCGACATTGCGCCCGCGTTCCCGCACCGTGGCAACACCAGTCATGGTCGTTACCAGGAGATGGGGGCTTACCGGCCTGTAATCTAGTTGCTCCTGCATGTGAACCGCCACTGGACACGGCAGTCCATGGCTGCCGGTGTGCGATAAACTTATCTAGGTTTCACGGGCACCTTTGATTGCCAAATCCTACAAGGGTTACAAAAAGCACAATATTCGACGATTACCACACAAACCGTGTTGAGGTGACCAACCTGGCAAATATGTGGCCATTTATCACAATTCTGATGTCATGCTTCATGCATCTGCGGTCCGTCGGTAATTCTTGACAAGGCTATGTTTCGTCTGAAGTCTCTCCCGTTTGCTAAGTCTATATGCGCTAGACATCTTAATTCAAAAGATTTCTACGAACGTAGAGCAGATCGCATACGCGCAGTCAGAAATTTGCGTGGTGAACATTGGACCAACAGTCCCTCCCACAGTTGCTCCATGTCGAGGTCCATCTCCTCGATGCCTTTGTCGTCTATCACATACGCAACAACGAATACGGCTCTTGTGATCTTGATCTATGGTGGCTTCTTTGGTGTATTGACGTTGTGGTCATCCTTGATGATCTGGCGGCGCGTCTCAACACAAGAGTGTCCTGCTCAAAGTGGAAGCTGTTGAACCGATCTCCTCTCTCGAGGTTGAAGCTGCCCGAATGAAGTGGGGCGGCGCGGATCAATCTCCGCACCGCCACGCCTGTCAACAGGGCATAGCTGCGGACTTCGCGGCTGTAACCGTGTAGGAATCAATCAACCAACCATCAACAAAAGACGGACTGTTCTTAACGCTTAATCATGGACCACTTCGTCACCCCACTTCCTCCAGCCGAAAGCGAAGCGAACAGGGTCGAGTATCAACCCACCAACATCGAATCCGAGGCCAACAAGCAGCGCAGGAAAGTCCAGAACCGAAAGAACCAAAGGGCACATCGTGAGTTTAGTCTTAAGCATCTCGCCCTTGGCTGAGCTCATCTCGATGAAGGACTGCGAAACAAAAAGCAAAACCCAGTTTCTGTTCAGACGTCGCGCCCGTTCCAAATTGAGCGCTGGCGCCTGGATGAAGTTGAAGAAAGCCCATCCCATTCCACAGAGCCCACTGCTCAAGATGTGACGATCAACGCATCGATATCCATTCCTGATCGCTCTGTAGTCCTCCGGACGCCGCCTCCATACACTCCGGGTCAAGCTCCCACTACGCTAACACCCCCGTCCATGGTCTTTCCCCTCTCTACGGACCACCTCCTTCACCTAGTTCAATACAACGTCTTCCGAGCCTTTGTATCAAACAAGCGTACTCTGAACGCGCTTCTTACAGGGTGGACATACGAGATGCCTCCTTCGCCAACCACATGTCCCATCAGCCTTCCTTACATCGACGACACGAACATCTATCCCTTGAATCCCAATATACCCCCTTCACTCTTCCCGACTCGCATCCAGCAAGAGCGTTTGCACTCTTTCTGGATCAACCTCTTTCCTTTTCCTTCAGTGCGCGACAATCTCATCAGGCATGAGGGACTCTTCGATCCCTGGGAGCTACTGCAGGATCTCATTGGCGAGCTCATGGGTGCTACGCCAATCCAAGAGCGACGAGGTATGCCTCTTGCTATCAAGGTTTCTGACCCTAAGGTTGTGTCAAAACCGCCGACCGCAGTAGTAGCACGTGATGAGGATGAGGTTACTGCGGGTCGCAAGGGACTCGTTGTTTGGGGTGAGCCGCACGACATGAAGAGTTGGGAGGCTACCCCTGGCTTTCTGGCTAAGTGGTCATGGGCCGTACAGGGATGTGACGATTTGCTTGTATCTAGTAACCGCTGGAGGTTGATGAGGGGAGAGGAACCTTTGCGTCTTCCTTTGATGGAAGATTAGTCGACATGTCGAACACCTCCCAACGCGAATCGAGCATGATCTACCAGTGCAATATTCGATATCACGATTTCACAATGAGAACTATGGCCGGTGATAAGATCAAGTACGGTGTGCTAATGCGCATGGATGTATTCATAGAACTTGTATCATGTGTCTAATTGTACACTGGGTTATCACTGCTGTCCCTTTCTGAACGCTCACTCATCACTCGGCAATCCCACAAGCTTGAGCGAGTCGTTCCACAGCCTCTCCGCCTTCTCCACATCGTAAGCATGCGGAGCATAACCAAGCGCAGTGTACTTGTCATCGCCTTCTTTATATGGCTCCGCAACAGCGCAGTCGACGAGGTACTTGCCGCCCCTGTGCTTCCATGTTTCGCCGATCGCCGCCCACACCGATGTTGCAGCACCCTGTTCGACGCTCTTCATAGTGGGATACAAATGCTCCATACCTTTGAACGCGTCCGGGGGCATATGCTGCATCAGCCCCGTCTGCACGAGGCCGGGATGAACGCTGGTGGCGTGTAGATGGCGCGAGCCATAGCGGCGCTCAATCTCGTTGGCCATGTATATGTTTGCTGTTTTTGACTGGGCGTACGCTACGCTGGGGTCGTAATCGCCTTTCTGGAAGTTGTAGTTGTCGGAGTCGTTGATTCCGCAGACGTTGTGCGCTGAGGAAGCGAGATTGACGACACGAGATGGGCGGCTGGAGCAGGCGGCTGCGAGAAGAGCGGGCTCGAGGAGCTTGTAGAAAAGAAAATGCGACAGGTGGTTTGTACCGAACTGAAGTTCGTGGCCATCTGCTGTAAGGCGATAGTCGGGAATTGCCATAATGCCGGCATTGTTCACGAGTAGATGGACTTTAGGAGTCCTAGAAAGAATGGCGGCGGCGGCGGCACGTACGGAAGAGAGGTTTGCCTGATCCATCTCGATAATGTGCATACGCGAAGGTTCGAAGATATCAGCAAGGGCGGATTGGGCTTTGCTCGTGTCTCGGGCCGTGAGAAAGAGAATGGCGCCAGTGGTGGCCAGGGCACGAGTGGTTTTGATGCCGATGCCAGAGGAGGTACCAGTGATGACAATGACTTCACCTTTGAGTTTGTTCTCAAGGTTCTCGTCTTTGATGATCTGCAAGGCTGTTGGGCGCGCATCGCCAGGGCCATTCGGCTTAGCATGAGCTTCATCGTAATGAGGCATTCTTGTGTTGGCGGGATGCTGGGAGGGATAAAGGCAGAAGATATGACTTGCGTAGATGGCGTAAGCTGGATTGATAAGATCTTGAGGGATTGGATTCTGAGTTTGGACGGAAGGAAGGGCAAATGAATCATTTATTTACTCAACTCACCCAAGCTCTGTACGCGACATCTTGGTCTCATTCGTAGACAGCGTCGCTCAAGAAAGACACGACTTAGAAATCACCGTACGCTTTAGCATGCTTTCTCGGGGATAAGCTTGAGAGAAGGCTCACACCGCCTCTTCATATCGAAATCTGGGCTTAGTCTACAGGTGCGGTACCTTCAAATTGCTGATTTGAAAGGAGAAGCATCATTCGGGCTGTGTGGATGCTTAGGCCCCAAGCTGCGAGCTAGGCTGAAGAGGGCGATAATGTCATCGGGTGGAGCTAGAGCTAGACTGCAGGTCCACGGGTACGGCCGAAGATCCTCCGTGGCTCAAACGCACTAGGCCGAAACGGGAGAAAATGTCATCGCACTCTGATGTCGACCCTCAACGGAGGTCTTGGAAGGCAGTACTCAAGATGATATGATCTATTCTTGTTAAGTAAGCATCATCCAAAGGACGGCGTTAAGCCATGGACTTACGTGTACCGCCGCGAAGGACTGTTGGCGACCTCGGGAATTTGAGGTAGACAGTCGCTGATGCTACCCAGGTACGCGCGAAACATAAGTAGGCGTCAAGTGCAACCCAATATGCAGTCAATATCTCCACTACTTTCCACCATCTACACCTCCATCTTCAGTTCGTACGAAACTCTACCGTAGTCCTCCAACATGGCTTCAACTCCTTCCACACCGAACCTCAGAGAACAAATTGAGGCAACAGCTCGGGCCTTCTTATCAGCATTCGAAGAAGGCGCAGCTCAGAGCAACCCTTCTATTATCAATCGCGACGTTACAGCCGACTGCACACGTCACCTGCTTCCCGCATCCGTACCCAAAGCTTTCGGTCTTGCAACAGACTCGTTCTTCGACACGACCAGTTTCCAGGACCTCTTCGGGAATGACATCAAAGTATTGTTGTTCAAGGATAACATCATGTCGAATTTGATCGTCGACACGGAGGCGCGCAGCGCGGCCTTCACAGCTAAATCCGACGTGTATGTTAGGAGCAGTGGAGAGACGTACCCTTTTGAGGGTGCTTGGTTCTTGTACTTTAATGAGGATGGATCTAAGATCAAAAAGGTGGTTGAGTTCTGCGAAAAGGACGCCATCTTGAAGATGGCAAGCGATGTGGCTGCTGCCTAATGAGTCTAGAGTAAATACAGGCTGGAAGCTGAACAGGAGGTAGAGACCAAGATACGGCCAGACTTAGCGAGCACATTCCTAAACAATACTATCTCTTGCAGCTCCTCTGATTGTGTCAGACCATTACGCCCTTAACGAAACCCGGTTTGTCTCTAGGCACAAGTCCAAGTTCACCTCTTCAAACCCGGAACCATTGAAGAGATAGCCGCGGTCTAGGTTCATGCTGTCCATCAAGTCGGCTATGACATGAGCGGTGGCGATCTGCCAAGGTGGTTCGTAATCACCATGCCGTTATGTGTGTTGACCCGATTCATGAGAAGCTCCGGAGTGAGTCATTAGACCGAAATGATCCTTCTGCCCCGCTTGATCGTTTCGCCGTTTAGTGCTGTCAGGACAAAGAACCAATACAATGTCCGTCAGGACTGGTGTATCTGAAGTTGATATGGATTTCATGCTTCCCATGTCGCCGACCGTGGGTTTGTTCCGCTCTAGATCAGTAATCGGGCCAATATTACTAGCATACTTCCGCACAATAATTCAATAGCCACTTATGCAACGCCCAGGGCTGTGCGCAAGAAGCCAAGCCAATGAAGTTCACGCACAGTATAAGACGGGACAGCACTACGCGATTTCTTATGAAGATAAAGAGAAGTCAAACCCTCTTCTTACCACGAGAACGTCCTCCAACCATGGCCTCTTTCGATGAAACCTTCAATTCTCTTCGTCATCGATTTGAGGAAAACAAGCATCCTATCCCTCCAGTTACACTTGGCGCCATCAGCAAAAATGGTATGGTACCTAGGAGTCCACCTTTCCCTGTCTCTTGTTTTGTTTCTGTTTTGCTGACCAGAAGTGATCAAAAGGTTCTTTCCGCTACATGAAGGGGTTTGAAAAGGAATCCGACGACGCTGAGTCCAACGGTGTGCATTGGCTCGCCTCTTCCACCAAGCTGGTGACTACGATTGCTGTAATGCAATGCGTCGAGAGAGGATTACTAAATCTGAATGACGATATCGCCAAAGTGCTGCCCGAGTGGAAAGATCCGAAGATTCTGACCGGTTTCAATGAAGAGAATGAAGCCCTCTTCAGGCCCGCAACGAAGGCTATCACCCTCCGGTAAGTCTTGATATGTCTAAGGGCTTACCACGTTTTGCTAACATGGAATGCTGCTGAACAGGCAACTGTTGACGCACTCCAGCGGCATGGCTTATACATTCATGGATCCGCTCCTGACCCGCTACGAAGAGCTTCAGGGTAAGCCACTGCCTGGCCCTCCCACATCTGTCGTAAGCCGGCTCACCCCGCTCGCCAATACCATTAGCTTACCACCAAGCGCTATAGGCAGAAAAGTTCCCCCACCACTTTCTCGTGTTTGAACCCGGTGAACGATGGATGTATTCGCCTGGCATTGACTGGGCTGGGGTTTTGGTCGAACGAATCACCTCCATGAAGCTTGGCGAGTACATGCAACGCCATATTTTCGACGTCGTGTCTGCCAATGACGCTACTTTCCATCCCGACCAGCGAGAAGAGACGCGATCTCGAAAGGCCAAAGTCTGGGAGCGGGTGGGTGAGAGGTTGCAGGAACAGAAGCAGCCTTACTGGCCGGACAGGGTTGAGGCAGATTTTGGAGGGGGCGGTCTGTTCGCAACTGTGGACGACTTGCTCAAAATATACCAAGGTGTCCTGACAGGAGAGTTGCTCCGGCCCGAGTCTGTCAAAGAGATGTTCCAGCCTCAGCTCGAGACAACCAAGGGCCTCGATCCAGCCGAGTACTCGTTGCCGTCCCGTAACGCTATCTGGAATACTGTCCCAGACGACGTCCCTGTCAGCTTTGGGATTGGAGGCTTGATCAACCTCGCTGTAGTACCGCAACGACGCGGAGTGAACTCCCTCACCTGGTCGGGCATGCCGAATTGCTACTGGGTAAGTCTTCAAACTGTGCATGTAGACTCTGGCTCATCATCAAACTATAGTGGATCGACCTCAGCAACGGTGTCGCCGGGGTGTATCTCTCTCAGCTTGTACCAACCGGAGATGAGAAGGCTATCGAGCTCTTGACCGAGTTTGAGAAATTTGTGTACTCGAGTTTGGATAAATCTTGAGTGTTGATCCAAAATAGTATCAGCAAGGCAAGCTGGCTAAGAGAAGATCACATTCAATGAGTATTATGTTCAACGGATACTCATACTTATCAGGAATTCCATTCCCATTTCTGTATGATTGTACGGTTGTCTCGATGGGAGGATGACTCGCTTCTCCTCATCGGACAGTCTGTGTTGTGTGCCTGCAAATGTGGATGTTAGTACATGTCTTGCGTTGACCAAGTGGCTATGCCCGCATTTCTACAACTCGCAATTCGTTCTGGTCGTATAAAGTCAAGCTACCATCTTACCTTCTCTCCCTTCACTACACCTTCCTCCGTCGCCAGACTAAGTTCACGTACCTTTTTGCTTAGCCACTAAGTCAAACGTGAGCTTCTTTACGCGCGAGCTTCGCGACCCCTACGTCAGCATCTTCGCAAGCCAATATATCCTTAGTTTAACATATTCACATACCAGCTTCGTGACACCCATATTGGTATCCTCCCAAGCTCTCAGGTATCATCTTCGTCAGTCAGCAGATCCGCAGATTAGGTTGAGGCACACAGACTCCGGGGTAAAGATGCGCATGTAATGTATCGATTGAACGCGACCGTAGCTGTCTGAACTAGACAGCTCCGATGCTCGCAGGCTGAATCTCGTGAAAAGTAGAATGTATGCTCAACGCAGGCCAGCCTATTTTTTCCCACCGTTCTTTTTCCAGCCCGCACTTCTACTCTTGCGTCCATTGGCACCCTTCTTTTGGCCGCCGCTGCCCTTGAACTTGAGCCCACTCTTGCCCTGCCTCTCACTCGCCCTGTGGCCTTCAAACACGAAACCCTCTTTTGTTTGTGCCTTGGCGACCTTGCCCAGCATCGATCTAGCACGTCCTTGCATCGACTTTTGCTCCTCAGTCAACTTCTGCTTGTAACCGGCACCAGGCTGGCCGCCTGGCCTGGGTGCCTTGGATGGCGGTGGGCCTCTCGGCTTCTCCTTGTTCTTCTTCTCCGCTTTGCAACGTGTGATGCGGAGTTTGCGAGGGAGCATAGGTGGGTACATCTTCTCGTTGAGTTGCAGCGCGGCTTCGACGCCGTTCTCATCTACGAACTGGACGTAGGCGAAACCCTTTCCGACTCTTGTCTTGGCGTCGCGGACTACGCGCACGCTCTCGATTTTGCCGCATTTGCCAAAGTGTACCCAGAGACCCTCTTCGATGTCAGAGGCGGCCTTCTTCTTCTTGGGCTTCTCGCCTTCTGCGACGGGTGTTTGGGACTCCTCGTCTACGAAGGGAAGGTTGCCGACGAAGACACAGCGGCGGTGATCAACCTTCATGGGATGGGCTAGTGAATCGACATGAAGATGGCGGTTGAGCAGCATGGAGCCATTTAGTTTCTTGACAGCTTCTCTCGCGGCAACCTTGGTCGTGTAAACAGCATATGCGTTCGTGCTCTTGGTAGTGGCGTCTATGATGTCCTTGGTCGCAAAGGCAGCGCGTTTGGGTAGCGAGGGATCGAGAGCCGTTGATCGGAAACGTATGGATTCGATCTTGTGCGGGGGCTTGTTATCGGCGAGGTCGGGTATGAAGGACTCCAGGTGCTTCTTGAGAGCCCTTTCTGCGGGCTTTGAGCTTATGCACTCGACCGAGACGTTGCTCAGGAAGACAGTGCGGGACGCCTTCTCCACCTCGGATGCGCTCTCGTCGGTCTTCTCCATAAGCGACTCGTGCTTGGGAATTGCGATGTCTTCGGCCTTGTCCGCTTCCTTGGTCTCTTTGCCCTCATCTGCCTCATCCGAAGACGAATCCTCGTCGTCCTCGTCTGAAGAATCCTCGTCGTCCTCTTCTTCAGTCTTGCGCTTCTTCTGTCTTTGCTCCTCCTCCTTCTCTTCCTCTCGTGCTACTTTGCGCATATATGCATCCTCGATCTCCTCCTTGTCGCCGCGCTTGCGCTTCTTTGGCTTTTCCTTTGCGCCGTGCAGTACGGCTTCACCCAGTTTTGCTAGCGCGGCCTCGTCTTCAGATTCAGCGTCGTCGCTGGCATCCGACATGTCCTCATCTTCGTCTTCCTCTTCGTCCTCATCGTCGGAAGGCAAGCTTTCGGATGCCGAGCTCAGTTCCGCATCGTTCGCATCGCCTTCGTCTTCATCTTCGCTGGACTTTTTGGTCGCTTTCGCTTGTTCGCGCGCTTGGTACCGTGACTTTGAAGGTGCTTGCACAGGTCCGGCCTGAAAATTATTAGCAATCACTCTTTAGCACAGACATGCGATCAACGTACACTGGCAGCAAACAGCGATGCTAGCGCCGGGTCAAACGCCTTTTTGTCGACTTTGATGAGGGACTTGTCTGACTTGTCTGCCTTGTGGCTCTTCTTGGGCGTGTCAGTCTTAGCCGAGCGTTTGTCCTTTGACTTGGCCATGGCGACAATGGAGATGTTGGTGTTGGCGACAGCAAGCTCGTCAAAAAGTTTCGGTGGAGACGCTTCACGGCGGACGCGCGCTAGGCCCAGCTGGGTGGTGCAGGCGGCAGAACGACACCGCCCGGGGCAGGGCAGTGCGGTCATTTGCAAGCCTCAGGGCCTCTCCCGGCCGTCGACCCGCTTCAGAGCGCAGTTTACACCATCCCGACCGAGCTGCCCTCCGCATTCACCACGCACACAGGAATGCCCGTCGCTGTCCTGCGTTTGCACCCCCTCCCGTACAAACATCGCAGACCTGCCACCCGGTCGCTCCTGCCTGAGACATCCCCACACGCTCCCTCGACGCCCGCGTCCCTCACACCCGCAGCTCTGTTTTTGACCGCTCGCCGGGCCCTGCATCCTCCACCCCCAAGAACGCCCATACCGCATCGCGAAGGCCCAGCACACCGTCCACGGCATATTTTTACGACATTGGTCACGCGGTGAGGCTGTCTTCGGCGTGGGCGCACTATGAGCGCGCCCGAACAGACCAGACGGAGCACCTCGAGAACAGCTGCCGGCCCCAGCGAGGACGTCGCGCACACTCAAAGTACGTTGTCACCTCTTCTATCCCGACCCCGATGCGCTTTTTCGGCTTTTCCAAGGGCAGCGCCGCGCCTTGGGTCGCCGCTGGAGAGACTGTCGATCTTTGCGTCAACAACCGAGGCGACGACAGCGTCGCGAACCTGCCTCTCTCACCGCGTCTATTACCCACGCCGTCCGAACCTGCACCAGATCTAACAGCCCCTCCCAGGTCCAACTTCGACCCTCACCACAGAACTACCTGACCCCACCTCCACCACCTCTCCCTCCAACCACTCTGCGCCAGCGCAGATACCCACACCAGCTGACCAAGACCCCACCGCGATCGCTGCTGCGATGCTGTCCACCATGGCAGCTCCGACGACAGTGCTCACCGAGTCCCTGCCCGCAGAACAAGCTCCTAATGGCTTCGATGATGTTGCCGACAACGGCTCCAGCAGCTTGAGCGAGCTCGGAGACGCATCGGACGATCAGTCAGAGTCAACACCACGGCCAGCCGCAGTAGCCGATATGGACGAGGATGATTCAGAGGCCGAGACCGAGCGACTGGACAACACGCCTCGAAAGTTCGCGCGCACAGCGACCGAGACGTCATTACTCTCTGAGCCCATCCACACAAGAACACCGAGCAAGCTCGCGCACTCCAAGACCATCGAGCACGACGAATCTGCCCCACCCACACCATCTGCGATTACAGACGATGTCGCCATGGGCGAAGCACCTACAACTGAAAACCCTCTGCATTCTCTTTCGCTGATCGCAGCATCAGAGGCGGCAAATCTCGAACACGTGGGCATGAAAAGAAAGCGTAGCAGTGCCGAGGGAAGCCCAGTGGACGAGCGCGAAGAGGAACCATTACGGAAACGAAGCGTAAACGCGAAGGGTTCGGCGCTCGATGGCCTGGCTGATGCCGCAGCAGACAGGCAGGGGCAGATGGACGCAGACGAAGAGCTCGAGAACGCCGAAGAGCACCTGTCGGCACTGGCTCGCGAGGAGCTAGAGCTCGAGGAGCGACAAGCCAACATCGCCGCGCAGACTGTCAGCGAAATGGCCACCGTCGCGAAGCACACAAAACCAAGAAAAGGTGGCAGAAGAGGGAAACGGAAGACGGAAGACGCTAGCTATGCCTACGCCGAGCCGTTTGCAGCTGCTGAAGCCCACGAGGCTGAAGCTGAGGGCGAGCACGACGATGAAGACAGCGCTGTACTCGATGAGGAGGTTACCAAGAAGAAGCAGGCGATCGATGAGCTTGCAAAGATTGAGAAGAAGTTCAAGCTTTTCCGAGAGAAGTAAGCAATTCACTCAGTGCATGATCAGAAGGATCGGCTACTAACCGTTACCAGGCTATGCGACGAGCAAATAGCGCAACTCGAACGAGAGCTCGACATGCTCAAGCAGCCAAATTGTGTCCACCCAGAGTACGTTGCTATGATCAAATGCGTGGACGATCGACGCGCCGACAAGATCGCATACGAGACGAGGCTTTTAGAATACAAACAGAAAAATCTCGAGATAATCACAGCAGCAGAGCGTCATCAGATGCACAGCCAGTACTTCCAGACTGTGCGCCACATCCGCGAGGACATTCTCGAAGAGTGCAACCAGCGGGTTTTCGAACTACAACGCGGACGACGTCAGCTTGGCTGCGATGACACTGAGTACATGGCACGATTACCTGAGAAGCGATCCGACCAGATCCGACACCAAACAGCATACAACCTCGAGGTCTCCATTCTCTCAGGTGTCGCCAAGTACGTTGGGTTCCCAGCCGCCCCAGATATCAGCGCTGCGCGACCAACCGAGATCGACGAGGATCTTCGAGCAATGAAGGTAAGTGGCTGAACGCATCTGCTAGAGAACTAGCAGCTGATTCGGCGCGTTAGATTGCAACGCGTGCTCCAGTGCCGCCCCCATCGTTCCGCACCTACAACAGAACGACAACAGCGGACGAGGCAGCTGCAGAAGAACAATTCTTAGAAAGCACGCCATGGGCCAACCCACGACATCCTTCACATCAAGAGAGTCGGTACCCTCCAGGGCCGTCACGAGTACCTAGCTACCAGACACCAGCTGGTCAGCGTCGAATGGTCGACCTCTCAGCTCCCAACGGATCTGCCTCCACCATCGAAGCGAACTCCAATCCTCCGTCGTCGAATGCTCACAACGCCAACGGTCTGCTAGGCGAAGCAGAATCACCGGTCCTACACATGAAACGCGCACCGGTCGACCACATCACATACGCCGAGACACCTGGCTCAGATCCTCGCAACAACATGGGTGTTCTCAGTAGGGAAACGTACGGGATGATGTCGAGTCCCGCGGCACAGCACATGGAGATACCCCACGAGCAGGTCGGGCCACGCTGGGTTGGCAGCATGCGACCCATGAACGCAGAGCCAAACACCGCGCCAGGACCACCAGGTGCAGCCCGACCAGATGCGGCGCGAGCACCTCTCCCACAACGCAGTGGTCTCGGCACGATCAGCGTTGGCAGCGGCTTATTCGGACGGTGACTCGAATAACCCACACTGAACCATTGTTCTCATATCTGTTTTACTATCTGTTGCGTCATACCAGCAAAGTTTCATTGGGCGGCGTTTTCCTTGCGTTAGACTTGAGGGTTTTGCATCCATAGCGGGCTGGCCAGGTAACATGAGCATGACATGATGGGAGGTATAATCCCTTTGGCGTTACCTCGCAGGCAGGCAGGCAGGCAGGCAGGCAGGCAGTCCTTATCTCCGCTTTCATGTTTTACCTTCCATGGAGGCTATGTCCATGTCCCCTTTTATTTCCGTTATGTTCGAGTTCATACTTAGACTCTTGGTGAGCGGGCTGTGCAATGAGTGGGTATGGTTTTAGGGAATGACGGAGATGATACCTTTTGAGAGTCGCCTTGAGCGTAATCAATGATATTCTATGCATCAAAGCTAGACATATTGCGTGCATGTGATGTCTTTGTGTTTGTGATCATCGCTGTGTTGGTTCGTGTCCGTCGCCGTCGGTATTGAAGAGCAGACTTGGGAAAGCTTCAAATGACTTTGAAATGGTCACTTTTCAGGACAGAAACAACATTGTTCGTCTGTTTCTCTTTTCGTGTATAGCTTGAGACACAGGCTGAGATATCTAATCCACCCCATAAACCATGTGTTTTGATCACTCCTGATAAAGCATAACCGTCGCATACGTTCAAGCTCTTCTTCGTCCATGGTGCATGGTCCACTTGTGCACTTATGCTCTTTGCTCCACACATATCACGTTGTCCAAATTTGCTCTGGAGACACACGTTACACAGCTCTGTACGTCTTTTGGCAACTCCCGATCACATATAATGTATGCCTAGACAGTAAGTACTTCTCATCGAACGGTAGAGCATGTCTTTTGGTCGACGTTCTGGTGTTCCAAACTTGTAAAAGGCTGCGGAGATCAGATCGATGGATTCGTTTGATGCGAGAAATCGCGAAGGAGCAGGAGACCTCATACAAGTGGGATTCTAGTATTTTGGTGGCCGAGAGACGAAGGTCATTCAGCGTTCGCAATTCCTTTTTGGTGAAATCAGAACTCAGAAGTGTGTGAGGGGAGAAAAGGTCGGTTGCAGAAAACGAAAGAGATAGCTTTATATATCTCCAAACACACGGAGTCTTACTCATCGAAGATGGCAATCTTCTTTTGAGACGCCAGGCATACACATACTCTGATGTCGCGATATTCATTGACCCGGTGGTGCGTCTTGCACACGTCCATGGGAACAGTCACTTTCGACTTTTGCGAAAGAGGAAGTTAGACATGACAGACTTCGGCACGCGTTTTGCTTTTACAGAACATGACTCTAGTATTAAGAATATCGTAAAGTCAGGCGCGGGCTTGTACATTTGACATCCTTCTTAGCCCCATCGTCATTGCGGTAAATGGTTTTGGAAAATTGTCGCCCATGTGAACGATAACTTCGCCTTTTGGTGATGAGAAATGGATCTTGGTTTTGCATGGAAAGATCGAGCGATATGATGTCTTATATACGGTTTTGAGAGGCGTTGACCGAGACATAATTGGTTACCAGACTGTGGTAAAGCATACCGGCCGGCCTAGTCGTCAGGATTTGACTGATCGATATGCCTATTTCGAATGGACAAAGACCAAACGTCATGTTGCGACAACAGGCCCGCTGTGCTTTGAAATTCGATGCAGTAGCGGATCAAACTCGTATTGAAAACTCTACCACGGCGCGAAGAGGTAACTAAAGTGAGTCAAGGCGCTTGATCGTCGTGATCACGTTGCGATATGGCCACGAGGCACCATGCGTCAAAGTGGAGATCCCATGTGACAGCCTGGAGAGCTTCAGCGGCAACCTGCATGTGTCGGTTCGTAGCAGTTTTGTCAAATTAGCTTTTCGGATATGCAGTGATAGATGCGTGACCGGAGATGCGGCTCGTAGTGAAGTGTCGTGAAGCTCACGTGTCGTTGATTACTTACATTCCTTTCAGAGATATGCCATCTTCATGGAAGGGAGACAATGTTAATCCACGACAGCGTCGGGATGTTCATGCTTTCTTCTGACCCAAGAAAATGTTTGATAGGAGGAAAAGAGGAAAAGAGCAAAGTAAGAGGCCAGTTTCTACGTCATTGTGGAATGCATCAGCCACATGAGAGGAAGGGCTTTCGGCACATGACTTCGGTATACGCTCGAAACTACCGGCGAAGCTCGAGCGTTGTCGATCATGAAGAACGGCTGCTTGCGATTTTGCTCGCCAAACACATGAAGATAGTCACCACTAGGACCAGTGGGAACCCAGAGTCGAGGCGAGACGGCCAGCGTTACTGAAGAGGTTGGTAGTCTTGGTATCGTCTTGGACTCGTGTTGATAGGGAGTCTCTTTTTTGCCGGTGGTAGGAGTAAGTACACATGTGGTGTAGAGGCAGCTGAATGTTGAAGTTTTGATCCCTAAGCGCGCTCACATATAGACATGGAGTCTCGAAAAAGGGTGGCCTATGAGGGCTGCAAGACCAAAGGGGTTGAGAAATCAATTGGATGACTCTCGATTAGGAAGTACCAATGGTAGCTCCTTGCAACGTGGTCGATAATGCCCTTGCATATAGAAACGGCTTTGGCTAGTCACCCGAGAGTAGTGGTCGTTTTCGTCAAGCCCACGTTGTGATCGTCGGCCCCTGGCAGATGCCGATGCGTGATGCCGGTGACTGACCGTTTGGTACAGACAACCGAGAGATCGACCCGCGTAGATCCGAGGGTGGTAAACGAAGACCACGCGAGTGAGTTACCTGTGTTTGCGTAAAGGCAATTGCCGATGCCTGCCTTGGCCGCATGTCGTCACGCGTGGCTCTGGAGATACAAAGTTTGGTTACCGAAACGTTGGCTCGTTGCAGAGGGCGCGGCCCGAAAGTGACAGCTGGAGCTGACTTGCGGCTGAGCAGAGTGGGGACTCAGCTTGTATGACCTTCTCGATAGTAGGTTGCCTGAGTGTCATAGAGGGTGGGATCTGTAAGGATTGTTCTCCTGAATTTGCAGCACTCGATGGTTTCGCTGGTCTTTGCTACGTGGAGATCGTCGACCTCGCGTAACTGGACTACGACACGTGCACGGAAGTTGCCATCTGCTAACGCGTTAGTCAATCGTAAGGGTGCCACTGCGCTGGATCGTGAAGAAACCTTTGGACGTGCAGTCGGGATGCTTGCGTCTAGTATACGCAATCCGAAGATTTGCGCCATCATGGCTGGAACAGAAAAGCAAAACCGCAGGGTTCCGCGCTCGTGATCTGGGGATTTCGACTTCGGACCGACAACGAACCAGCGAAACCTGAAGCGCGCCACACATCATTCGCGAAGTATCGTGATCCTGAGGGATGCGCACGCATGTTTTGCTTGAATCGAGGAAGACGCTGCGAGTCAAATCTCATGCCATCGCTAAATTGCCCCACTAATACCGACTCGGATAGTGACGATTCTCACGAAGAAATTGGACATTGGACGCGATAGCGACGGAGTTTCACGCAATCGCATGGGTCTGTTTCGAGCGTGCATCAGGTATACCTTGTAGGGCTGAGGTATCAGCCGGGATACGTTTTGCAGCCATGTCATGGAACGTCGACGAATTCGAGAACTTTTCCCGTGGCAATGCTGTTGAGTAACGCTGGTGCACAAAATTTCTCACACCAATCAATGACCGCAAGAGACATGATGCTTCGGACGCGGCTGAAAGATTTCGGGGGTATAGCTCCTAGATCATTTCGATTTTTCCGGATGCTCGACATGATTGAGGGCTTCGCTTCTTAGCTCAGAGACGGCGAGATTGGGACCGTACCAGGAAGTTGCTGATGCTCAACAAAACGGCTGGGGCTACCACAGACCTTGGGTATGCTAAAGAATACGTGCCACACCTTGCTGCGACACAGTGGTTTGGAACGTTAGCCGAAGAAATGGCCGTTTCCAGGCCGTCAAGTTCCTGCACTCCGCAGTCTCTCCCGTCAGTGACACTCAGACCAGCGTCCAAATGACATGTGAACAAAAGCGGCACGTTCGTATGCAGCTCTGATGATGAGTAGTAAGACGAATGTCGTGAAACACATGGAAAGGCTGTATTCCTGCCTCGCGTATCGCGAATACCGCATCGGTCTCCACAAGTCGATCGTCGACGTTGTGAGAGTCAGTGAACATGATCTTCGAAAAGCAAATGGGCCCCCATGTGATTTTTCTGAGCCGCGAAGAGTGCAGCGGTAGCGGTCGAAGCTCGGCGGCGGTTGAGCGGACGCGAGGTGGAGCAAACGGCATGCACGCGTGCTAGTGGCGTACGTACGCCAAGCTGTTTACCTGTGCGCAAAATCGCTCGTCTGTGGCGTTGCGGAACGAACCACCATCTTTGGTCAACCTTCCGGAGTCGCGAAGGCTTCAATACACACGGAAGCAAACACGCTATGGCAGGGTATGCAGTTGGATGGCAATGATCGGAGAATTCTCACATGAGTTTCGTATGTTCTGTGCTAACCAGGCAGACAGATAAGGTTGCTGGTAGCCAGGGTGCACACGAAGGACGTGTCTCCTTTCCTGGACCTCATGAGCGACCTGCATATTAGGCGAAGTCCACTTAGCGTCGACAGACCACTGTTCCTGAAAAGTATAGCCTCCGTCGTCGGTAGCGTCTGCCCTGCGAAGCGTCAGCAAGGGCCCACTTCAACTGGTCTGGGGCAACACCTCCATTCGCCCTGGGTTTCAGCCGACCCATTGGTTGTATTCAATAATCATGGAATCTAGTGCAAGTCATTCCGTGCATATGGCAGGGATCATCTCTACGGCGAGACATACACCTCTGGTACGGAAGATGCATGACCCTCGAAGAGCAGCACTAGAGGCGGTCCAGCCCCACTGTATACCTCAATCTGCACTTGCCGTCCCCCATGCCCAATGGTTAAATGTACCTGCAGTTATTCCCTTCCCTTATGGTCTCATATAGAGCAGGCCCCGGAAACTAAGCGACCGGGCCTAGCATTCTTGACAGCTCTTGATGTTCT